ACAGAGAGAGAGAGAGAGAGAGAGAGAGAGAAGAGAGAGAGAGAGAGAGAGAGAGAGATTGAGAATCTGAGGAGGGCTCCCATCCAAACCGTGCTGACAAACAGCTGGAGGGCTCCGTAATTGCTCTAAGAGGGCCATCCGCACGGGCGCGTTTTTTAACCCTCAAGCGGCGTAAGAGCGATCCGTGCTCTAATCGCAAAAATCTTTCATCGTCAGCTTCCTATTTGCACGTAGGAGGCCCCTTCGCATCCACCACGTGCTGGACCTTCGCGGTTGTTCGAGAGAGGATTTCCTCATCCCCTCGCAGAGGGAAACCAGGACCCCACCGACATCAACTGGCGACTCCACTGGGGATGCGTCACCCTATCATTGGCTCGAGCTGTCTCCAGGTACCAATCTCTCTGTCCCCTCTTTCCACTCTTGTTATGGGATCCACTTATCCCTCTTTCCTCTCGGTTGGGGAGTTCTTTATCCCCATACTCTTGGCTACTCATGGAGAGGCTCGACCGTTCGGTCCTTCCTCCCTTACGTGTCCTCTTTGCAGTCATGCTAGCCTGGCTATCCCAGCCTCGGCTGAGAAAGTTCGGGGCACGGACCCTCAGGCACCTCGCCCTGTCTCTTCTGGTGTTAAGGGGGAGCCCCTTAATGCCCACTACATGAGCGACTCTGCCACTCCCCCTCACCCTGCTGGCCCCGGCATGACCACCGTTGGTGCGGGTAGCCAGAGTGCGACCCTGCCTGCTCCACAAAGGGGCGCCCCAAACACTGCGGCCCCCATGCGCATACCACTCCCTGGTGGCCTAACCGCCATACAAATGAATCGGGGCAGCCGTCAGCCTACCCCGGTCTCTCAAACAGTCTTGGGTCTCGGTCAAACACGGCGTTGGTGGCCCAAAGGCCTCCCGCGCCATGCATAACAAATCTATGGCTCGGGGAAGCCCAAAGGTTGGCCCCCGACCAGCATGCGACTTCTGAGACAATCGGAAGTCCTCCAAGCAAACTCACACACATGCGGGAGGCCCAACGACCTCACCTGCTAAACGGGCGGCTGCCACACGCACTCTGCCCCTCACCACACAAGGGGTTGGCGCTATGGCCGCTCCGAATACCAGATCACACGTACGCAAACAGGACCGAAGAAATCCTCAACAGCAGAGAAAGACAGACGACGATTATTACACCCGCCAGCCACTGTCACCCTCCCATCGTTGGTTCCCAGTTTACGCCACCAACGATAGGAACACCTGCTCTCAGGTGTCCCACGCTGCCTGGCCTCATCATCATTGCCCACCCATCGATAGAACGAGTCTGTCAAGAAAGGGACCCGTCCCTCCTCCAGATCGGGGGGCGGGGGGGTCTACCGAAGCGTATGGAGCTTCACTTCTATACAATGGAAACGACGTCCATCACCTACTAAACTCAGCCTCAGGAAACCCCTTCGCTTGCGATGGACGTCTCCCAAGTCTCAAGGGCACAGGGTCAAGGGGCAGTGCAACAATAGTTGCCCCTAAGTCAAGACTACAACAGGGTGCCCCCACCAAAAAGCTATCACCAAGCTGGAGGGTCTGAACGACAACCCAACTAGTGGTGCACCATCAACAGAGTGTGGGTACCAACCCTCCTCAGAATCCTGATTGGGCAGGGCATGATGGTCCTCCCTCTCAGCAAACGGCCCGACCACGCAAAATGAACTAATCGCCTTAATTGCTGCGCTTTTCACCT